GAGCACCTCGCGCCGCGCGCGCGCCGAGCCGCCAGCGTCGGGGAAGCCGCTGCTGCGCTGGGATGAGGTGCCCGACGACTTCGTGGAGTGCTTCATCCTGTCGGGCTACCGCCGGCTGCCGTGCACGGCGCAGGAGTGCCTGGCCTCGGTGCTGAAGCCCACCAACGAGACGCTCAACTTCTGGACGCACTTCATCCCGCTGCTGCTGTTCCTCAGCAAGTTCGGGCGCCTCTTCTTCCTGAGCGGCCGTGACCTGCCCTTCCACCACCCGTGGCTGCTGCCGCTCTGGTGCTACGCGTCCGGCGTCCTGCTGACCTTCGCCATGAGCTGCACGGCGCACGTGTTCAGCTGTCTGTCGTTGCGCCTGCGTGCCGCCTTCTTCTACCTGGACTACGCGTCCATCAGCTACTATGGCTTCGGCAGCACCGTGGCCTATTACTACTATCTGCTGCCCGGCCTGAGCTTGCTGGATGCCAGAGTCATGACCCCCTATGTGCAGCAGCGCCTGGGCTGGCACGTGGACTGCTCGCGGCTCATCGCCGCCTACCGCGCGCTGGTGCTGCCGGTGGCCTTCGTGTTGGCCGTGGCCTGCACCGTGGCCTGCTGCAAGAGCCGCACCGACTGGTGCGCGTACCCCTTCGCGCTGCGCACCTTCGTCTTCATCATGCCCCTCAGCATGGCCTGCCCCATCATGCTCGAGAGCTGGCTCTTCGACCTGCGCGGCGAGAACCCCACGCTTTTTGTGCATTTCTACCGCCGCTACTTTTGGCTGGTTGTGGCCGCCTTCTTCAACGTGAGCAAGATCCCGGAGCGCATCCAGCCGGGCCTCTTTGACATCATTGGCCACAGCCACCAGCTCTTCCACATCTTCACCTTCCTCAGCATCTATGACCAGGTGTACTACGTGGAAGAGGGCCTGCGCCAGTTCCTCAAGGCGCCACCGGCTGCACCCACCTTCCTGGGCACTGTGGGCTACATGCTGCTGCTCGTGATCTGCCTGGGGCTGGTCATCAGGAAGTTCCTAAACACCTCTGAATTCTCCTGTAAGAAGTGAGCCTCCACCCTGCAGGAGGCTGTGCGTTCGCACACCTGTTTGTTTGGAATATTATTGCTCTTGTTGGTTTGTTTTCAAGTTTTGTTTTGTTTCCTTCGTTGTTTGAGGAGGGTGCTGTAAAACTATGGGGGGGGCCAGGGTGAGCCCAACTGCTACCAGGGTGCTTCGGGTCCAGTCGGTCCTGTAGGAGGGAGAAGTCCACTGGTTCTTGCCCCTGGGCGAGGGGGGGGGCAAGCTCAGGTGGTAGTTTGTAGCATCTGTGACATCCCAAGGAACAGCATAAATAAAACTCCAAGCAGTACAAAATTTCCAATCGTCTTCGGTGCCCTCAGTAATTACAGGTAGCCATTGTTAGTCAGGTATGCGGTAAAGAAGGTAAATAGACAAAATCCCCTGGTTCTTCCACTTCAGCTTAAGGAATGCTTGGATTTGTTAGAAGAATGAAGCCTTGTTGGAGACGGGCACAAAGACACAAACCTAGGACTTAACCTGCTAGAAAATGCATGGAATGTGAACAAAAAAGTTAATGACTTAAAAATGTTTCTCAGATGTTATACAAATAGTAATATATACAAAGATTTTTCATAATTTATATACAAAGTCTGTGATCTACACTGAATTTTCTTTGTCACATAATTTTTCATTTTGCAGCCATTCTGCATTGTATGCACTTGAACTGGACATCAGGGCAAAGCTCCTTAAGAGTTTTCAACTTCCTTTTTTAAAACAGTGTTTTCTGAGGGCCTGTGTATGTTCATGATACAACTGTGAATTGTCCTACCTGAGGGATTCTGGTTAAACTGTTGGTTAGTTGAGAAAGTGGTTTCTATAGATCCCAGTTTTCTATTTAATGTGTTCCACAAAACCCTGGTTTTGGTTTTGTTCTCTTTCCTCCGCCTCCCCCCCCCCCCCTTATTTCAATTGCCACTGGAATAAATGTGCCTTTTGAAGCAATGTCCAAATGACTGGTCCTCAAACACAATTTCTTGCCTGGGGAGAGCAGCCTGAACGTTTATTCCTGCAAACCCAAGCTTATATTAACATCTATCTAGGAAGAAAGGAAGAAGGTATTGCTTTCAAGTATTGGGTAGAACTGGAAATAGGTTCCTAATGCACCTATGGGAGTGGGCAAAGAGGATCCACTTTTGAAGCAATGCTGCCCATTCTTGCTTAACATTAAAAATGTAATGTGTAAAACTGATTCAAGTAGTTAGATTCTAAGAGTCAGGAGCACAATGAGTCCTAACTGAGAAATTGGAGATAAACAAGATGCTTGCCAATTCTACACTGACATATCATTTGGGTTATGATTGGTGGTCACTTTGAATTACTGAGAAACTTCTTAATGTGCCGCTGAGACTATCAAATTGTTAGTAATATTTAGACATTGCTTAGAAATGCTAATATGCAATTTGGATGGCAACTCTAAATTAATACAAACCACGAAAGGTAGCTTATTTAAGTATGCTTCTCACACGTCCAGATAAATGTTTTAATTGGTGCTCTTGAAGAAAGATTGCTTTGTGTGTTTGCTTTTAATAACTACTGTATTTATCCATAGAAAGACTTGGCAAAATTCCCTGGAGGAAGTAGTCCCCTTGCCTATCAGTTTGCATGCAGAAGTTATATCTGTATGTTAATATTTAATTTGTAGTCTTTGGATGGTATAACCAGAAGGTGGGAGATTTGAGTCCACAGAAAGGCGCCTTGTAAGATAAGTCTGTGATCTCAGTTTGGAAAATAAAAATCATCCATTGAAAACATTACCGAGGGCAGCAGTTCAACTCTGGCACGTGAGGTTGCCATGCATCAGAATTAACTCAATGGCGATTAATTTTTTGAATGCATTTCATTTAGAACCTCCTAATGGAATTGTGAGCACATCTTCCATAGTTGATGAATGGCCAGTGCCTCATCCTTTGTGAAAGAAATTCCTGTTACGTTATGGACACTGATAATTTGTGCCTATAACAGATGTTTCTCAGCTTTAATGTGATTCGGTGCCATGTATTCAAGGACAGTTGTGGACATGAAGGATATTTTCACATGCAGACTTATCTACATGCCATTAATGCCTCGCAAACAATTTTAAATAGAAACTATAGAGAAAGGTTGAGTATTTTGTATTAACTTCCTTGAGAAATAGGACCTACCCTTTCAGAAATCAACAACAATAAAAAGCTTTTAGAAAGCAAACTTCTTAAAAGGAATGATGAGAACAAGGGAGGGGGAAATGGTATTTATGATTTTTCCATTTTGTTGGCAAATTTTGGGGTCTACAAACTCTGCATGCAGAATTCTCTCCTAGTCCTATGTCTTTACGCTTGAGCAGAGGCCACTTAAGGATAAAATTATCCCCGTATCATTTTCAAGTGATTATGATGCATGAGCCCAGCAAGCTGACACACTTCTCCCCTGTGACGGTTGCAGAATGTCCCAGAGAGAGTGAGGACTCACTTTCATTTTCCCTTTTCCTTTCTGCCTTTCCCTTTTCTTATTCAACCTTAGATTTTATATACTGTGTGTAACATTGCCAACAGGACAGTCTAGTTGAAAACAGGGGCTTGGCATCATTTCACGTGTGCTGATGAGTACCATATCCACTATATCAGACCAGGGTGATTTGGTAAGCTATATATATTACTGTTAAATTATATCCGATTTCTCATCAGGATAAATGGTGATATTTTAGAATCCACCAATATTTACATTCTCCACATGTGTATGGAACTATCCAGGTACATAGATCGCTATTTCTGGAATATTACTGCAATCCGAATAAAAAAATAGATTTTTTTTCACCATTTCTTTCACCACGACCGTTACAATTCACTTTTACTTTATTATGTTCTGTGGAAAATAAATAAGAATGTACTGCTATTATATCCATATGTATGGCATAAGTATGTTACGGTGACATTTTGAAGCTTATTGTGTAAAGAATGTATTTTTATCTTTTTGCTTATTAGTCGTGATCTAGTTGGCCTTCAAGGAGCGCCATTAGATAGTCTTGCTTAGAAAATTGAGAGTGACTTCAGTGTCTGTCACTCTATGGGTTGAGATAACTCAGCTAATTTAATTGGCTAAAAGGGAGCACTTCTCTCTCACTCCAAAAACCGAACCCTCAGGTAATGAATATTGCCTTCTGAGGAAGGGGAATCACACTCTTCAGTCATGTCATAACCTTATGAAAGTAATGTTCTTTTCAACTGGCCAGACCTTTTCTATAAATAGCCCAGGAGAAAATACAGCTCTCCAGAGGGCTCTTTACATGTTCCCATTCATAAACTGTGCCCATAAGTGCTTGCAGTAAAAATCCATTTAACCAGAGTCACGCTACTTTATCAGTGTCATTTCTAGGAATGTAAAGCTAGGAGAAAGAGGAGATTTTAAGAATTTTATTTTTTTTTCTGATTTGGTGCTGAATCTGAAGGCTAACAGCAATAATAAATGAACCATCTCTTTGCAACATTAATCTGCATAATGTTTTAATAAGAGGCAGGAACAATAAGTTATGATTTCAAGATTTCACCTCTGGTCTTAAGTGACAGAATTAATGTTTTCAGGTTGCCATTAGTATCTGCTATATGCTCCATTGTGGGAAGTACTTTGCACAGCTATAACGCCTGGATAAGCCCACAGTCATTAATTGAATATTTTCTTTTGTCTTTTGATTACTTTTTAAAAAAATTTATTTTAACAAAGGTTTACTGAAAGGTTAAGTTTCCATTCATTCATTGTTGCACATTTTCCTCCCTCTTAATTACTTTTACTTATTTCATAGTTTTGACATAGCTCAAAGTAAGATATGCCCACCCATGAAATTAGATTATGGAAATCTAAATATATATATAGACACACACAACTGTCTAAATGTTTTTTTTACCACCCTAGAAGTGTATCTGTTGTAATGTCACTGCTGGCTTCACGCTGTCATTGTTCTATCAGTTGCTTTTCATTCATCCACATAAGCCCTTTTCGTGATCACCAAGCATCCTCATCTTTAATGCATTGAGTCACTATCTGTCCACATCACTACGTCTCCTCCCGTTTTCCCCAACTGCTGGCACAGAGTCACGAACATAAGGCAGGCCCTCTAACCAGGGATCTTGACCACGAGCAGAATTAACTGAAAACCACTGAGATTAGTGGTGAGGGTTACTTTTACCATTATCCCTGTTAGTAGAAGAGGGAGCACTGGGGGAAAGTTGCTGAAAGGCTGGCCATCTCCTCTGTAATTTACAACCTCTGAAAACTGGCGGGGGGGGGGGGGGCAGGGGTGTCAGTTATGAGTTGGTTTCAACTTGGAGACACATAAACATTTGTGTAAGATCAATGCTTAGAGTCTTAAGACAACATGCTAACTCCCCTTTCCTTAAAAGAAGTTACCCATTTGCTTTCTCTTCCTCTCTCCTTTCTTTGTTCTTGGCTATTTTATTTTCTCCTTCCCCCTCCCCCCCCTCCCATTCTTGGGCCTACGCAAACTTTAGGGTTAAAAATAGCCTGCAAGTTTCATGTTCTGTCCAGGTGAAGGGATAGCCAACATATGTACATAGAGTTTAAAAATTATCAGTACTTATTAAGACACAAATAACAACATTTGGAGTTAATAGTATTCAAACCATTCAAAGTGCCTAAATTAAGATATCATTAAGTATCTGAATGTCATAGACAGTGTACTTTTTAAAAAAAAATACAAAACACAACAAAAACAAAACTAAGTGCTTTAACCTCCAAAGATTAGCTAATGCTCTTTAGGCTTTTTTTTTCTCTTTAAAAGTTTTTATCTTATAACCTATGAAATTCTGAGGAAATCATGAAAACTATTGAATGTAAAAAAAGATTGTATAGGGATTAAAGAACAAGGAGGATTATGCAAACTCCTAGAGTGAGGTAGTAAGTTTAACTGTGGACAGTTGTACCTCAGTTTTACATTTGTCCCTAGAAAGGCATGTGGACTTTAGCTGCCTACCCACATCCTGTGACTTTTGACCTGAATACTAGCACCTGTTAAATTGTGAGTAGGACTCTTCTCTTCTGGCTTAATGTCCTTGATTCGTTTCCATAAAATTAAAGGTGTGGCAAAAACGTAGTAGGGCATAG